AGAGCGTCATGCGTTTGGTGTGGAGGAGGGCCACTGGGGGAGGCAGAGGTGGGGTGTACTGTACTACGCAGGACAGCTGGAGGAGCATGTCTAAGTTACCTTTTCCCTACTCATCTCCTTCTCAGCCTCAAGTTTCTCTGAATGTTCAGTCTGAAAGAACCTCTTTTCTTCCCTACCCTCTTATCATCATCCAGTTTACTTTAGTCTCCAGAATAACAGAAATAAGCAGAGGAAATGTCTCTCTGCTAGGCAGTCACACCTCAAAATAGTTCTGGTGCTTTTGTTTGCTCACAGAAAGTACCTTGCTTCTTTGGCTCTCAGGTGCCAGGTTTAGGATTCTTCCATCTCTTTGCTCACAACTAGGTTAATAACCATTCATATGGTTATCACTATCTCCACACGAATGGTTAAGTTTCTCCCCTACCCACTCTAGTTGCAACCATGTCTTCCTGTAACTTTGTGTAAGCATTAGCAATCATGCTCTTCAGCAAAGTCATCTGAACATATTTTGGGGCAGCTCTGGGCCCTTGGCTCTTCCAGTGAGGATGTTTGGCTGGCCATGGGAAAGAGAGGGCTGTACTTTAAGGACCAGTAGAGTGGGACAAAGACAAACCTGCTAGTTCTTAGCAGCTATTGCAGCATGCAGACTGGAACCCCTGAATTACCTTAATTAGCATCCTCAAAAAAATGTCTTAGCTTAAACTAGCAATGTCCTATGGTGCTCCCATAATCCTAGAGCCACTCCACACAAACACTGCTAAAGAAAGGAGTTCAGAACTACGCATGTTGCATGCAGGCTGTTTAGTTCAGCAAAACCAAACAAAATCCAAGGTTCCTGGATTTTAAACCTATCTGTTTTTAATAGTTTCCTCAAGCTAGTCCAGAAAACAAATACTCTCCTCTTACTCCTACAGTCTGTTAAGTATCAGAAGAAAGTCAGGAGATTAGTCAACGCTACTGTCTTCAGCTAAGGAATCAACTGAGACCACCACAAGTGAAAAAATGGAAATTTCAGCAAACATTCCGATAAAACAAATCTAGTGCTGCTTGTATGCTCCTCCTCATCCCTCCTGCATTTAGCTCATCACGTTACAATTCAACTCTTCCGGCAGAAAATTTTTTGGGGGTGGGAAGAAGGGAGGCGCAGGGAATAAAATGCTTTGCCATTTGCGCAGCAGG